ACTTATTACGGAAAAGCAGCAAAGTTCATCCTCCTTTCCTTCTGTTTCCATCATACCTTCTGCCTGAGAAACCTAATTCTGGAGAACGTCCCAGTTTGGGGTGGTTTAGTGGACTGGGGTTAGAGTTTCCCATTAGGAGACAACGTTTCCCATCTCAGGGTCTAAGGGGGTCTGAATGAGGTTGGGATGGGGACCCCTGCTTAGTGGGCAGCGCCATGCAGAAAACCAAGGAAAAACATCAACTTGGAAAGGAACAGATTTGATGACTGCGGGACCAGCTTTTGATACACTGCCTGCAGAAATAACGACATGGAATTGCTTTGTTTACAATGTGAATTGCTTCCTCAAGGCAGACCTTTATGGCTCTGATAAAAAGCGCCAGTGGAGGGGTCTACTTTCAAGGGCTCTCTCCTGAAAGCATCCAATCCCATCGATTCTGGCACAAACCCCCTTGGACTGGTTGAAAGAACCAGGCCCGTGTGCCCATTTTTGTAGAATCCACGTGTCCCCAGGCCCAAGCTCCCCCGTGGGTTTTTGATGGGCAACATGTTTGTTTTGTGAAAATCCCTTAATTAAAGCAAATTATTAATGTGCATATTTGGAACTTCATTTTCATTTCTGTGTATAATTGGAAGACGTGTAATGAGGCCGGCAGCGGTAAGTTGCAACTGCAGGAGGGCCCTCCACCCATCTCCTCGAAGCCAGAGAGAAATGTGGTTTAGATATGAGTGGAAATCATGTGCCCTTCACCCTGATTTGGTTCGAACCAGGTGCTAAGGGTCTGACCGATGGGTCTCTAGGAAATATCTTCCCTCTCTTTCTCCAGAGAAGCACTGGGGTATTTTTAGTTTGTGATAGCTCTTGGCCATAAGGGTTATAAAGAACCTCCAGGGCTGGGCGCAGCCAACCTGCAACCCCCGGGGGCTGGAGGCCAAGTGACAGCACAGGGACTCTCCTGCTGGGGGTCATTAGTTGGCCACTCTTGGAAAGAGGACTCTAAAACCAGGCTGTGCTAAAGTCTGGTCTTCTTTTAGAACGACTCTTCCCACATCTGGGGGCGGGGGGTGGGAGTGAGCCATAAACAGAACCAGTTTGTAGTGTAGACACATCCCTACCCAAATTTACACCATTGCCTTAAAATGATTGTTTTGAGCTGGTGCTGATAAAGGTTTGGCATGATAAGATGGATAACATGGTCACGGGGTCAAGGCCTACGTCAGCTGCATTCGACGGGCTTACCTGGTTGAGGGAGAAAGACAACAGGTGGGTCTCAAGAGTTTGGGGAGAGGTCGTCTGTGCAAAGTTCAGGGAAAAACCTTCCAGACTTGTTTCCCAGGGTTCTTTTAAACTACACCCAGCTCCCTCTCTCCAGCCCTGGCGTTCCCTGCATGGGATTTTGGAAAACCGCAGAGATCGCCAGCCCGACGAATGCCCGCGCTGCTTGTGCGTGCCAATGACCACTCGTTGTGCAAATGTGCCGTTTAAGAAGCGTGAGCCAAGAGCAAAGACCGTCGCTGCCTCTCGGGGCTGCACGAGAACCTCGCCTTCCCTGGCGCACGTCGCATAGATCCGTATTAAAGAGCGTCGGAATTTACAGCTAAAACGAACAAAAAATGCTAAACCAGTTCCCCGTAGCAAGCTGCCCCTCCATCCTTAATGCTGATTTTTACTTTTTTTTAGAAAACGGGAGTATGGTCCCCACCCCTCTACCTCCCCCGACCCTTTTTCTCCCCCCTTCCCCCCATACACGCATCAGACGCATGCAGCAATACCTGTGCAGTGATTCTTGTATAAGGCAAGGCACGTTATGTGGTATAAAACGTATTTTCTTTTTCTCGTGCAAAGTAGGAAAAGGGGGGGCACTTTCTTTTTCTGTTTTGCTCCTCATCATAGATGCGGACCGAAGGGAAAAAGAAGGGGAGGGGTGGGGTGGGAGAAATGAGAATCTGTATGTATAATTGCCATGCATGTTCTCGGCCAGCTTTTGGTTGAGCTAAGTCACATGAAATCCTGTTTAAAAGCACCATGCAGTCTATATGAATAAGGGTTAAATCGTGTGGTTTGCTTAAAACATTTCCTTTCCCCCAATTGCAGATTCTTAAAATTTTCACTTCAAAATAATAATTCTGGGTCAGCCCCCCGCAAGAAGTTCCCCATCTCCCCAGTGGTACAGTCCCAGCTTGGAGACAACCGAGGGGCATTACTGGGGGGGCGGGGGGGCGGGTCCGGGCTGTGGTGGATGTTTGCTCCTCTATTTCCCACCTACAAATGCTTCGACTTGGCATTAACATTTCTCATCGAAAAGGTGCAGAGACATAAAGAGGTGCTGCTGGGAAAGTTCCCCCACCCCATGCCAAATTCAGGGTGGGGGGGATCTCTACAGAAGTCAACCCCCTCCCCACCCTGTTCTTGGCCTTGGTGGGAAGGAGCAGATGGGGAGGGCGTTCTGCATATGCAAATGCAAAGCCCAATCCTCTACCAGGTTGATGGGCCAGTGCAGGAAACATTGTTGGGATGAGGAAGGAGTGGAGCGGTTTCGCTGCAACGCTGGTTCGGCCCCAGCAGTTTGCAGTGCTGCCGGTGAGACTCGGTTTCTGTCATGGGGGGTGGAAAGTTCAGGACAACCATGGCTGTTTAAGGTCGGGGCACCCTATTAATGTGGCCGCCGGGCTCCGTTTTCCGGCTGTGCTGCCCATCGGCAAGTCAGCACCACTCCTGTTCGTAGCCGGCCTCAGAACGGATCCCTTGTGTTTGGGTGCCGCGAGGGCACGCGGAGGGTCGGAGGTGGGCACACACTGGCCCCGGATGCGTCCGCTGGGTCCAGAATCGAGACGAGGGTGGGTGCCCCAGATTCTGTCCCCTTTCCCCCTGGAGGGGACCTCCTCTTGTCAGGATTATATTGGCAGTATAAACAGCAGCACAAGCTTCAGCTCACGGACTGCCATGGCTTCTCCCGCTCACGGGGTCCCTTCCCAGCTCTACTGTTGACCGCAGCGTGCCAGAAAAAGGGAGTAACTGATAGGGCAGATGCCGTTGGCGATACACGCTAAAACTCGGGGTCTTCCCAAGAGCAGACTGCATTGAGTTTCCCAAATAGCTTTCCAAGTCTCTTTCCGGTGCCTCCCAAACCTCTTTGTAATTCAGCAGCCCGGTCAGGCGTGTTGCTGAACTATTTGGAAAGAAGCCACATGGGGGATATTTCCAGGATAAGACCCTTCTCTGCCTTTGCTGTTTTCCTCCTCCGTCTTGATGTTTTGGCACGAGGGGAAGGAAATTGTCCCGTGCTTCGGCTGCCCCCATGCTGGGAGGGGACAGAGAATCCAGAAGCCCGTGTGTTCTTCACTCCACAGAGGACTTATGAGCCATAAAAACGCATCCCAGCATCCGCCGGGACGGAGGAGGCCAGTCTGTGGCTATAAAGCTTTGGTGTTTGCTAGGAATGAGGGAAGAGAAGCAGTGTGGAAGGAGGGCCACGAACCAGCCGCCCCTGCCCGGGGGGGAGGTCTCCACCATGCACCCCCTTGTTCTCCATCGCCCAGCAGGGAGGACTGGAGTATCAAAATGTAGGCACTTGGGTCAGTCCAGGATGGCTTTTCTGGGGCTCGCAGGGGCAGGGGGGCAGGGGAAGTTCGACTGGGAAGAGGGAGCTATGAAAGCATGCCCACCTCCTTCTAAGTCTGGCATTTCTTCTCTTGTCCTGAAATACTTTAGCTGAAGTCGTCACCGTTGCGAAACCCCCATCCCTGTCAACGGATGCTCTCTTCCTCCCCGTGAATTTAAAGGAAAAAAAAACCTACAGGAGACAACCTGCCTTATGCTACACTATCACATTACTTTTAAATTTCCCTCCACCTCCTCAAAGTGCATTTCCTACAAAAAAAGTGCAATCCGTAATAGCAATCTACCACCATCTCGCAGCTGGTTTGCTCTGTCCTGTATAGCTCTGGGTATCCAAGGCTGGGGGAGGGGAGGGAGGAAGAAAAGGGAGGGTCCATCAACCCGCAGTGCCTGCCTCCCGACCAGAAATGTCATCAAGATGCGAGCCACGAAGGTCTGTGTCAGCTTGCGATCTGTTAGCTGCCCGTGCATCCTTTGAAGCAAGGATGCTAAACCTGGGCACAGACGAGAGCTCACGAGCCGTGGATTCTGCATCCCACACACCGAGTGTGATTCCCCACCCCCCCCCCCCCCACAAGAAAAGAGGCAGACCAAGCTATGCGGGCTAAGCTGAAGGGAATGGAAGGCGTCCTCTCTGGGGTGCAGGCCCCACTTGAAGGCAAGGGTTACAGGCAGACCCTCGAGGGATCCGGAAGCCAAAGGATGTTGCCACGGCCTGCAAAGGGAAGCCAAGCCTTCCACAGCTGGCCTTCCATTCCACACCAACCCCACACAGGTTGCTCGAGCTTGGCATTCACACCCCCTTGGACCACCGCCACCCCTCCCCACCCTCCCCCCACCCCCCGCAGACCCTAGCCGTCTGGGTCCAGGCTGCCCTTTCCCCACAAACCTCGCTTGGCTTGGACCCGTTCCCTTTTCCCACCACCTGGACGGACCAAACCACCTTCGGCCATCACATCACCTTTCTGCCCCCCACTCGTTCCAAAGATTGCATCTTTTGAGAGGAAAGCGCAGAGTATTCTGGGACAGAAGAGGAGAACAAAAGCCATCTGGCCTGCAGCCACTGAAGAAGTCTTACTAACAGCCCTGTCAGTAGGTGCCGGGGCCCAGGAGTCCCCAGCCGAAAGGGAAGCATTTGCTAGGTACGGGGATGGTCGCTCAGCATTCATTTCTCGTTCGCTCTCTCCGGAGAGGGAATGGGTTAACGTTGTGTCTCAGGATAGGCATGACCTAAACAGCTTAATCAGCCTTGGTGATTTTTAGCATAGTTTCATGGCCATGCTGCTAAGAAGGGGGAAGGTTTTGGGTATATGGTGGGGGGGGGGGAGAAAGAGAGGGGGTCTGCAGCAGGCCAAGGTAATCTCTCTCTCTTTTTCTACTCACAAGAGATGGACAAGCAATCAGAAACTTTCATATTCATCCGTTTTGAGAAGGTGGTTGCTCTATGGAGGCAGGACCCATCTTCCTTGGAAAGCCACGCTGGGTTTGCTCAGCAGGGGGAAAGAGGCTGTTTTGGGTTGGTGGGTCCAGGTTGTCTTGTTTTTTCATCTTCAAAAGTTCGAGCCAGCCCCCTCTTTCGCTCATTCTCCGAAGTCTCTCTCGCTCTCTTTATGCTGTCACCAAGGTTTGGGCCAGGGGTGGAGGACTGCGCCATCTCCTCAGAGTAAGCCCGAAGTCCAGAAGGAGGGAAGAAAAATGACAATGCAGATGGAAGCTTCAACTAACCTAGATACCAGGACTGGTGGAAGAACGAGAAAGAAGGTTATTTGAAGGCACATGGTCCACTTACCACAGTGCTCTGTCACCGGGGGAATGTGAGAGTTCGGGACCCAACGCACCCTTTTTGTGGAGCTGTGATCCCAACATTCTTAAAAATGCCTCCAGGAATGCGAAGTTACACGAAGGGAGACTGCCAGTCACTGGAAAGACCTTCTCCATGCTTGGAGGTATTCAAGCAATATTGGCACAGTTTCATGGTCAGGCTTAGCATAACCCGTTCCAACTGCCGGGGGGCTAGACATCGCACACTTCCCTTAGCCTCAGCTGATCTTGCTCCAATTAGAACTGGCCCAAATTGAAATGCTCATCCATCATCAGAAAGGAGACTTCCTGCCGAACAAGCTTAGATAATCAGCAGAGCCTGTCCGGCGACCTCGTTTCTCCTGTCGCACTGGGGCCATCTGGTCCTTTTGGGCCCTAGGGTGCTGCCGGGTCTGTTTCGTGGCAGACAGGCCCTGAGCAAGCTCCGCCACCCAACCATGGGTGCCTCGAGCAGTGTGGGGCGATGCTGGGAGCGGAGCGTGGAATCGGTGCAGCTATTTCCAAAGCTCTCTCTCTCGGCATGCCTCTTTTAAGCACCTCAGTAATTTTGCTAGTCCCAACACCAGATCAAAACGAGGGGAGCTGAGCCCCTGATTATCGGCCCAGCTGGATCGGAGCAGAATCGGGTGATTCAGCCGAGCCCTGATATCCAGCGCCCCACAAGGGTCAGCTACAGAATCAAGCGCAAGCGTGCCTTTCAGGGCACCGTTAGCAGTCAGCAAGCCCTTGTCGCCCAAGTCCTTTGCTAGGGAGCACCAAGACTTTTATGCAAAGCTTCCCCCGCGCTGACAGTGGCTGCGAGTCGCCATGGATCAGGCCCACCAAGTCCTGCATCCGCTCCGCCTCCTTTTTTCTGGAAATGCCCCAATCCAGAATGGCCATGCTGAGTCCCTCTGAGGACATCTAGAAGCGCATGGGGGGTGTCTTTGGGGGTCCTATAATCTCGGAGCGTGGACTCCAAAGAGCAAACCTCCCCCCGCCCAGCCCCTGGAAGCTTGTATATAAAAACTGCACCAGATGCCTCTCATTGAGGATGCACATGGGCCCTGGAGGAGAGAGAAGGAGCACACCAAGGGTATAGAAGGTGGAGGATGGGACTTGGAGTCCTGCCCTTCCCCTTTCTCCCCATCCTCGGCACTGGCTTAGGACCAAGCAAACAGCTGTCTAGAGAAATTGCAGGGTGCAAAGCAAAGGTGAAAGCACAGATTACTACCCTAGATGCTTGTAAGCCTCCGAGTTTGCGAGGTGATATGATGGCACAGAAGGGAACCCAGTCCCCCTCCCTCAAATATTCTGCACCTTTCCAGCAAGTGGTGACACAGGACTATGCCCATGTCAGTCAAAGGAAAACACAGAAGAATCCCTGACTTGTAGTTCTGGGCTGGGAGTCCATCTTTCTGACAACTTCCTTTTATTACCAAGTTGCTAGTCCTAATTGAGGTTTCCAATGTTTGGGTAAGAATTTAATGCTCTTTATTATTCCATGCTCCTACCCACGAGGAGCAAAAGCAGAATCAAATTACATATTCATACAGGTCACCACCTTTGGTCCGAGAATCTCAGCTTTCATTGCTGAAGCTTCTAGTCCTTATGACCTGCCCAGATATGCTTGGAAGCAGGGGTGGATCTCAAAGCTCAGAGTGACCACTAAATGACATTTTTCATGTCTTGCAGAGTTTATGGATCAGCAAACCAGATCTCCAGTGCAGCAAACTGCACAACAGGATAAATTATAGGAGATTTCTATGCCACATTTCATCCAAGGAGCTCAAGTGTGGTATACAAACCCTTTTCCCATCACCTTATCTTAGGCTGAGAAAATGTCATTGGACCAGTGTCAGCATGTGAGCTTCAGGGTGGAGGGGCTGAACCAGGTGGTACAGTCAATGCAGAGTCTCACGCAGAGCCAGTGCATTTTCACCCTTTTTGTCGTACTTGTGTAAAGAAGTGTGACTTACGTGGTAGGAAATTTAACTCCCTCTCAACTGTGCACAGGGATCCAGATTGGGGTCCCACATGCTTCCAGTTCCCCCATTTTTTAAAGTAGACGCTTCTAATGTTTTGCCTACATTCATTCATTTTCAATTTTTTATATTGCCCAACAGCTCAAGTTCTCTACTTTAGCACTGAGCTGTGCATTTGAATTCAGGATTCAGTCAGAGTCCTAAACCCAGAGGTAAGCAACTAGATGTTTTAGTCTCCAACTCCCTTCAGCCCTAACCACTACACCACATTGCCTGCCAACAGGTGCATTTAAGCGTGCAGCAGAGAGCTGATTTTCCTTGCTGCAAAAATCGCCTGGGCACTGCCTTTTAATTCCCAGCCGACCCGGAGCGCTCCCACTGTAATTATCGCTCATCTGCATCACTCTCGCACTTCGCAGCTCGCACGCTGCCCTTTGTCCAGAGGCTGCTCTCTATTCCCTACAGTGCTCAGAAACATTCTGCGGATTCAGCACTTCCGCGCTGGTCACAGGGGTCTCCTGCCTCCTTCCGAAACAGGTAAGCGCCGCGCATGCATGGCGGCCCTTGCCACTCTGCACCTCCGCGATCAGGTGTTTCTCCTCCCCGCTCTGGGAGATTCAAACCCCACAGCAAGGGGCACATAACACAAGCCCCTTGTCTGGCGCTTGTGCCTCATGACTGGACTGCATTTGCGTTAGTGTGTGCAGACCAAACAATGAAGGCTGGAGGCCTTGTATGTCCAACAGGAAAATGTCCAGCACAGAAATTTGGCCCTTTGCTCAAGGACGGCTCTGGGCTTGACTAGCTTCAGCAAAGATCCGGCGGAAATCTGGCTCTCCTACACAGCCGGCGACTTTTCCAAGCACGACCCTGGCCAGGAAGGGAGCTGAAACCTGGCTCGCCCCTGTCGCAGGACTGGACCGAGCACAAAGACTGAGGAGGCTTCCTCAGACCCAGGTGCTGCTCCTTGAAGTCACGTCCTCCAAAGCACAGGAGGATGTGGAGGTTATCCTGTCATGTTTCTCGTCTCCCGGTCAGAGCCGCTGCAGTTAATTTCGTTTCTCTACCTCCCCACCTCTGAAGGGCTCTGGCCAGCTCACCGTGCCGAGGGACACGGTGAAGGAAGGGAAGCAAAATCCCCTTTTCAGCTGCCAAGAGTCCCTTCAGCTGGGAGGTGAGGAGTGGGCCAGGAGGACAGGAAATGGATGGGGGTGCCGTGAGAGAGATCCTAGGGTTTGTTCTCTGTTTGTCTCTTCTCCCGTGGGTCCTCTGTCAACGCTCGGAGGCATTTCAGCCTGCAAGGACTGTGGTTCCCCATCCCTCCGTCGCACAGCTGGCTGCCCCCGGGAGCACTATCCCCCACAGCTCGTTGATGGGGTGCGGGGGTTTCTGACTCACCTGTGCCTGATAGATACTGCCGGGGTCCCGGGGTCCTAGTCCCACGAAGCGGTTCGCAGGGGGTGTGCCGGGGGCGGAGTAGGCTGAGGGTGGGGTGGAGAGGAGAGAGGGTAGAAGGGGAAGGCGGGGGAAAAAAAACACCACTATTTCAAACATGCAATCGAACTACAGCCCTGACCACAAACGCCCACCCCAGAGCGATCCCCCCCCCCGCATGTGATCCTGCCCTCCCATCATATTCTGGGGTGCAGAGCTCGTGTGCCCTGATCTGAGGCCAGCCTGAAAGGGATGGATGCTGTAGGGGGCAGCTGTGGGAATCCTGCATTACTTGTGGGGTGGACTAGATGACCTCTAAGGTTCCTTGCAGCTGTATGATTCTACAGCTCTGCTGCGGGATGCTCGGCACAAGGGGTGGCTGTTCTGAAGGGAGAAAACAGCCCAAGGGCTGGGAAAATATTCCGCGGTGGTTGGTCAGGGGAATGGTGTTGTGACCAGAGATATTCTTGGGGGCGGGGGGGGGGTGGATTTGATCCTGGGTCCAAAGTTCTGCATCCCTGTGCAGCAGCATTTCTGCATCCACAGGAAGGCACAGGCAGGTCTTACAGGTATACCCCATATCTGTGGATCTTCCTAGATCAGGGAACTATTTGGATCCACTGAGAATACAAAAGGACGTCTGACAGAAATGAGAAGTTGCCAGTTTTGGAACTTTTCTGCACACAAGGTCTCAGTTTGGACCCCTGACATTCCCACCCATTTTTTATTCATTTGCATGCCTCCTTTCAGCCAAAAAACAGGGCTTAAGTCTGCTCACAACAGTAAAACTAGCCCTCATAGCTAACAACCCAGGGAAGAACCATGCTGGCAGGACTGGCGCCGTGTTTGATCCTATTAATAGCATCAACTTCTGCTGCTGAGCAGATCAGTTCAGCTTTGGCTCATGAGAGCTAGAAACTTAGTTTAAAAAACAAACAAACAAACAACTTTAAGGTTCTTCCTTGCAGGTGTGATAAGAGAGAGGCAAGATCAAATCAATGGAGGTGGGCATAGGCCATGAAGGAGAAAGCTATCTGGTCCTTCCACAGGCCTGAAGAGGCCAAAGGATGCAAATTGGTCGAAGAAACAAGAGCAGGCAATGCCCAGCAAGCAGAAATGCCAGCAAGACAGCTTGGCTTGATCCACGGAGGCCTGCTCTTGGATCACTCTCCTCGCCCCTTTTTAAATGACTTTTTTTCCGTTTCACCACTGCTGCTTGCTTCTCTGCAGTTGTGTGTTGCCACAGCCGGGCAGACCCCAGCCGTGGCACAACTTCAGATTCTCAGCCATGCACGTGCCAGCTCTTGCACCAAAGCAGGGCCTTCTAAAGAGCAGAAAGACTCCAGGGTCTGTGGCCCACATTAGCGGTGAATTGCTGCAGAAAATTGGCTCAGCTCAGGCTGTTTGCTAGGCCAGGGAGAGTCGTCTGGGGCGAGCTGCCTTTTCTGCAAGGAGATCAGAGCAGCCGCTCCTTCTACATTCTTGGCATGTTGTTCTTTAACCTTTGTGTGCGTGCGTGCGCGGGTGCACATGTGGTTGTGCAGCAGTGTGTGACTGGTCTGCAGCTTGTGTGTGCACATGGCCCGGTCTGGAACTTGTGTGCGTGTGTTTTTCAAAGGCTGCTTTTTTGTGTGGCTCTGGGCATATTGTTCTAATTAATATCAAATCTTTGCTATTATACTTCATATGTCTCTGTACAGTGTGTGTGTCATTGTATGTGTGTGTGTGTGGGGGGGGTGCCTGTGTGTTTTCCAACGGTTCTGCTGGCTCCCCAAGGGATTAATTTCTCATTATTAGTTTTACATGCAAAGGGATGCCTTTACTTCCAAGACAGATGTTTTATCTGGGATTCTGTACAGGCTGCTTCTGCATAGGTCAGCTCTGGTGGATGAGGCCTTTCTGGAAGCTCTCAGAAATTGCTCCTGTGTTCACAAGCTCCTGCTTTTCTGTGTGGCTCCAAAGAAGGTCACATCCTGCTTTGAATTACTGTAATCCTTATTCTGACTCACTTGATTCGCTGTGAAATGGGAGATGTTACTGCAACACGGGTATGTGGGCCCAGAGGAGTATGTTTATGCCACTGAGTGACTTCCCCACCCTCTTTGCATGTTCTGTGACTCAGTTTCCTCCTCCTGTGATATTACTGGCCAATTATCGAGAATTCAGGGGCTGCCCCACCTTTTGTGCCTCTTTGGTCCTACTGTATTATTGATATGTTTATTAGATTTATAGCCCACTTTTTCTCAAAGTGGGCTATAAATCCTTCTCCTCCTCTTGTTCTCAATCTTATCCCAACAACAACCCTGCAAGGTAGGCCAGGCTGAATATCTGTGACTGGCCCAAAGTCCCCCCCCCCCCGGTGGGCTCCATGGCTAAGCAGAGAATAGAACCCGGATCGCCTAAATCCCAGCTCCACACTCTTAACGGCTGCACCACACCGGCCCGAAAACAGGTGCCCTGTACTCAGCCCTACCATTCAGGTTAGCCACAGGCCAGAAATCAATCAATCAAATTAAATAAATTATTTAAATAATGAAATACAGTGAGGTTCTGGGAGTATCACAAAGCAACCCCCTTCTTTGGCAGACACAGGTGTTTTGTGCAGTGATAAGGACTAGGAACCTGAACATGCATTAAAGCAGATATTCCTCAAGCATGCGCATCTTCACTGGGGACTTTCAACTTTGCTCCCAGCTTCTCTCTCCCACTTGACATTTTACGGGCTGGATCCCACCTCGTTATCTTCCCAACGCTATGCTATCAAGCACGCACCACTTCGCAAGTATGTGTTTTCAATACTCAGCCCAAGTTGTTCAAGGAAATCTTGGAAATTGAGCAACCTCCCAAATGCAAATCACAAGGGGCCGAGAGGGTGAAGAAGTCAGCAATGGGCATCCCAGGAAAGTGCTAGGAATAAATTCCGATCAGAACCAGTTGCTGCAAGGATTAGCATGAGACAAGATCCCAGATCTTTCAGCCCTGCAAGCACACTAGAAATGCTAAGGAAGAGAAACCTCTTTTTAATTGGGTCCAACCCAAAGTGTCCTGGATTACCGCATTTATTTACATCCCAACGTTTTTCCTCTTGCAACATTGGCCCTCTGCCTCCATTTTTAATCCACAACAACTCTGGGAGCAAAATTAGGCTGCAAATCAGTAACCGGCTCAAAGTCACCCAGTGCCACCTCATGGGCAGGTGGGGGTCAGGTCCCCCAAGCCTAGTCCAGTACACTCAACCACACAATCTACAGACCTCCTCACACCAGAGAATGTTTAATAACAGAGCATCTTGTAGCATTTGCTTGAAGAACAAATCCATTTATTATGGGATAGGTTTCCATGGACACTGCCCAAGTTGTCCGATGTAAGCGGGACTACTCTCAACTTGGCAGAGGGCTCGGAATGCCAAAGAGACAGCTAAATATGTTGATCAACTCAAAGAATTCCTTGTAGCGGTTCCTCTACAATTTTGGCAATAACTCCCAGCAATAATCTGCTAAGCTGCCCCCCCCCCCCAAATACCCCACATCCCTGACCACATTCAGGCTATCCCAAATTCATGCAGATTGCAGTAAGCAGAACAAGCATGGCAGCACTGGAAAAGTTTAAAGTAAAACTTCAGGATAAGCAAAAGTAGGACTTCAGGACAGGTTAGGATAAGCAAAATAAACTTTTCCAAAGCCATTCCTCCAAAGTTGAACGCCCGGCCTACAATGAGACAGTTTTATTTCCAGTCTGTTTAGACTCGGAATCCAGAATATGAAAAGCATAACCAAAGGTTGCCAGTTCCTCAGCTACAAATGCTGCCTCCTAGAGCATCACTCAGGACTGATAATTTACTTTCACATTCAGAGCAGAACTAAATGAGAAGTTCTCACTTTCCACAATTCAGCCATCCTACATCCAGATTCCAGTGTGTTTACTCGCCCTGACTTGCTGGGGTGTGAATGAGGCAAGCACATAGCTTTCTGCCTCTAAGACGGATCTAATTTGCACATGTTCTAACCACACGACAAAATCTGGGCAAAGAGCCCTGAACCCCACACAAAATAGCGAGCGGGATTGCGCTGGACTATTTTGTACAAATCATATTAGGGCCACATTATTTACCACAATTCATCATCCATTTCAAAAAATGTGCAAGCCACGGTCTGTTTTAGAGATCGAAGCCTGTGGGAAAATTAACTGTTTCGGCCTGTTGCAATCGCTTGATTGGATGCAAGCTGGAAACCTTTCTAGTTCCAACGAGCCAGATTTCCCTGTTTCAACTCATCTGTATCTGCAGCTAGCAGGTTTTTACTGCTGGACAATTTGGGGTGCTCTTGTCTGCAAGGGAATGATCCTACTCCATATCCTTACACGTGTAATATGGGAATTTGTCGTCTTGTACCTGCTCCCTTGCTTCTAAGCAAAAAGAGGATCTTTTCCTCCAAAGTTGTGGGGAAAGTGCCCTTTGATGCTGCTGAAGAATGTAACAGCCCTATTTAGATGAGAACAGGTGTGTTTTATTATAGCTCCAGCAAGCAGGTATGCGGATCCTTATTTGGGAACCGTTTGTTCATCCCTGTTCCCTTTTCTGGGGATTTCCACCAGTCGAGCTGCCTCCCTTTAAAGCCATGCCCCCTGCGGCCGTGTCACTGGGAACCCCCTGGCCAAAATTGGTTCCCTCCCCCGCACAGATGCTTATCTGTGAAAGCTGGTCTGTAAGGCCGGCTGGGCTGTGTGAATCGAACCAGAGGGGTGGGAACTGGTGACGGACGGCAGACAGGTGGCCCAGGCCATTTAGGAGCGGGGGTGGGGGGTGGGGGGCAAGCTTACTGGGAGACGTCGGCGTAGTGGTCCCTCCCTCTGAAGTTGTCGTGGTAGATTTGGTGTCAGGTGAGATTGCCAGGCGAGGCATCCCCGGCGGCGCCGGTGCCAACATCTGGGTGGGAAGGTAATGACCAGGTAACTTCACTTGACCACCTCCATTTAACTAGGGACACAACATACACAAAAGAAACAGAGAGCAAGCCGTTAGCACCGCTCACAGGAGCCTCCTGCAGGGGATGATGAGCAGGCTTCATCAAGCTCTGGCCACAGGGGTCCCACCAACGACCACGGCGGCCAGCCACGGATGTGGGTGCCCTTCTCCCAAATGCTGTTCACGCCCCGCTCACATATCTGATCTCAGCATGGCAGTGTGTGTGTATGTGTGTGTCATGTGAGAAGCCTTAGAGGAGTCTTACTTCTCCGGTTCATTCAATGGGGTCTGCTCCTAGCTAAGCGTATTTAAGACCACAATTTAGTCACTGGAGTCGCTCAAGTTTAGGGATATTGCCAGGTAAGTGTCCTGGGCTTTGTAGCTGCTAAAAATATTTTCTAATGGCATTTTTGAATAGCTTGTTAGAAGCATAATTAACTGTACTTTGTTTTTATGGGTCGGGGAAGCAGGTGGTCTTGGATGGTACTGCCAAAGTGGCCAGAGTGTCAGGGAAATCAAGGGAGGGCTGTGCATTATCCTCCCACACGGAACCTGTGCTTTTGCTCTTTTTCAAAGCGCTAGAACTGAACAAAAGTCCAACTGGCACGCTAAAGCTCTATCAGACCGTGGCTTGCATTGACGAACCCTTGACGAAGCGCTACAGCTATTCCCAGATCTCAAGAGGGGAAACACAATGAGAAAACCTCACAAACACATTCACACTTAGCCAGAGTGTACACTTGAAAAACAAACACAAAACGTGGGCAGGCACTTAAAGCAGAACACTGCGATAGACGGTCTAAGAGAGGATAGAAAGTGGCAGAATAAAGGACTTGTTCCCTGAATAGAGAGAGCTCTTTTTCTCCTCTGCATAATCCTGGGAAATTTTGGATGGCCAGAAACCCTTCAGGAGCAGAGTTTTAGACTGCGCATGCAACAGGATGGATTAATTCACCTTAAAAAGGGCTTTCATGTTTGTGGAATTGCTGACTTATTCTTTTGTTAGATTTATATCCCGCTTTTCCCCTACAATAAACTCAAAGTGGCTTACAACATTCTCCCCCTGCTGTTCCCAATCTTATTCCCCCAACAACAACCCTGTGAGGTAGGCTGGGCTGAGAGTCTGAAACTGGCCCAAAGTCACCCAGTTGGCTAAGCAGAGACTTGAATCCAGATTGCCTTTCTGGGACTGCAGTGTAAGCAGAACCGACCCAGTTTCCAGGTAAGTGACACCTGTCCCTCTCCTGTCCCACTCACACATGCTGCACATGGGTAAACACTGCAAGAAAGCCACTTCGGTGCAATGCTAAGCGTTTTAGTGATGCACGCTTGAGCACTGGCAAAGCACAGCACAAGAAGCATCTCCGTGCAACCAAATGCATGCTCACATCACTGATGCTTCTTTGTGTGTTTTGTCAATTTATGTCTGCATAGCTTTTAACGTAGCAGATGGGACAGGTGCACATGGAAACTGAAAAATACCATGGGGCACCACACCTGTAGCACACTGCGTAATGTTCAGATGATGCAGTCCAGTATTCCTAATTCGTCCATTTTACTTTGGGAATAAGTCTGGGGAATTTGGAGCACCGAAGTCGGGGAAGGAATCTGGGTGAGGAAAACATGGAGAGCAACCACACTGCCTTTAAAATCTGTCTCCCATCTTTTCAGCTTCAGGGGAGAGATGGAGGAGGCACTCTGTGTCCACTAGGCTTGCTGGCCATGGGCTCCCTCCTTCACCGGAGGTGGCATGCCTGCATGCACCCATAGCTGAGCAGCTGGGCAGGGGGAGGACTTTTCTGATGTTCTTATGGGGCACCAGAAAAATAAACACAAGAATTAGACAGCAAAGTTACTGTCCAAATGCTGTCTCTGTGCGTGTGAGACTGAGATTGGGGGTGCGGGGGAGAGAAAGAGCACAAGGTGCAAGAAAACCAAGCATTTTTCACTCACTGCTCAAAGAGCTGAGCTCTCCGAGGGTATGGGATGGCTGGAGAAGGGGAGGTGAGACCACATGATTAGGTGGTTTGATTAGGTGCCCAGTGGAAACTCCTAAACATCAAAGCATTCAGAACTCTCTTCTGGCTGTGTACCTTTTCCGCCAGATTATTTGCAGCATGTTATTTTTAATATTATCTGGCCTAGCAGCGTCGCAAGGATGAGTCAGTGCGGCTGACCTGGGCAAGTTCTTCCAATGCTCTGCCCCAAACTTGCTCCATGCAAGCTGTATCTCCCACACAACTTCTGGACCGGATGGGTGCACAGCTCCTGGCACAAGGGTCTCATTCCTCCTCCGCCTCCACTATCACTCCTCACATGTGGCCAGCACAGGCCATCCCTGCTTCCTGCTTGGCAAGTGGCCTCTAAGACATGCCTCCTTCTTCGCTCCCTGCAGCCGGTACGTACAAGCCCGGGGACGATTCTTATCCTTCTTCAGAGGATCAGTGGATTCAGTGTTGAATGCAAATCTTTTCCTTCATTCATCCCTTATATTTATATCCCACCTTCCCCCATGATGGGGCTCAAGGTGGTTCCCGGGGGTCTCCCCTCCAAGCTCAGACCAGCCCCGGACCTGCTTAGCTTCCACAGGGTGGATGGCCTGATGCCCCTTCAGACCATGCTCTGTAAAGGTGCATCCAGGGTCGTTCCTGGGTAGGGTACAGAAATAAAGGCTGACACCGGAGGCCAACACGAAGGAAACACGCAGGAACCCTGGGAGCATTCCTGCAAGCCTTCCCCTAATCCTCCCCCATGGCCTGGAAGAAGGGAGGCAGTTTTGCTCTGATCCTTAACCTGACGTATGAATGATCCTGAGAGCTTTTGGCCTAGCATGAGGCTTTAATAACGTAAGGATGCCCTTTATAAAGGCTGCGGAAGAAAACACCACAGTTCTAGCTCTCCTGGGGACAGAAGGGAAGAGAGGTGGGGGCACCTGGCAGAACCGGAGCCCCCGAGCCCTCAGACAACAACCCTAGAGGTTGGCGGTCCCCAAACCTGGGCACTGGGGTCTGTTTGCCTGTCCTGGATGGGGCTGGACTCCTCAGAAAGAGCAGGGATTATCATCTGGGGGTGCTTATCCACCCATCCATCCCTGTCACTGGAAGCCCCGGGGTCTCTGTGCCCACTCCCAGCCATAAACACATAGTGGGCACATTGTGAGCGGAGTCGGCTGGTGCCGGAGGTCAGACTAGATGGCCCGGGAGACCCCTGCTGACTCGCGCTGTTTCTATGAATAATGATATTGTAGTAGCCGCACTTAGACTGTGCCGGCCTGATTCAGAAGCTGCTGCTGGCACAAGGGGGTTCCGTGGACACGGCTGGGGGAGCGGGGGGCATGCTTCTGGGCGTGGACTCCCTCCTTGGCTTCCTGGGGCAGTGAGTCCGAGTTCCTGCTGAGCGTGCTTGCTTGCTAAGCAAGGGCCGAGCACAAGAAGCGGGTCCACAAATGCTTGAGGGACAGATTCCTCGGAGCTCCGACACTGCCTCTTCGCCACCACTAGTCGGAGTATCCCTGCCAGACCGGCTTCCCTTCTGTACACCCAACCGGCTGTTAAGGTAAGCACAAGAGGCGCCACGGAACACCTTGCGGGAAGGCCCTATCGGTGGTAGCACCCATCCTGTGGAGCAAACGCCCTTGTGCGGCTCGGGAGGCAGAAAACCAGCTCTCTTTCCAACACCTCCTGGACACTTACCTGCTCACGCAGGTGTCCCCTGACTCCAACTAAACAGACAACGCGGTTCTGTTCTACCAGTTCAGTGCTGCTGTGTTTTACTACTGCAACTGCATTTTAAAAGTGATTTTAGTGTCTGCATGGAGATGGCTTAGTGATCGCTAAAAATATTTAGCAGTAGAAATAGCGCAAAAAGATTCATGGGCAAAGTCCGTTCGGCTGGGCGTTGGCGCCCTGACACCCACCCGCCATGTACCACATCTGGAGATGCAACTGGGGCTTTTCCTTACCGGTCCTGGCTGCTGATTGGACGGGTCACAGGCCAATGAGACGAGATCTTTCAAAGGGTCCTGCGGATTCAGGTGAGGCGGATACCGTATGGCTGTGTGCGGGAAGTAGGTGGAAGCTGTCTGGGGCAGGATTGAGGTGGTGGGGAAGTGAAGCGCAGAAGAGGGGTGCGGGCTTCGGGTGATACCTGTGGGACAAAAGGACAGAGTGGAGACGGGATGGGGACACACCCAGCCCCTCCTGCTCCCGGGCTCCCCTGCAGAAACCGGGCCGTTGGTGGATCTTCCTCCATCTCCAGAAAACAGAGAGATGGCGCTGCATCCCGTAACCTCTTCCCCTTCCCTGACATCCTTCAGCAACCCGGAAGCTCCTTGATTTGGAAATCTCTAACACCCCCTTTCCCCCTAACTTATTTATTTATTATACTTATGTCCCACTTCAACCCGATAGCTCAAAACGCCAAATTTAGCTGGAGGTAAGCAGTCCAATTAGCCCTGAGAGAGCCTATGGGGGAATAAGTGTCGGGCTTTTGGGGTCAATGCCCAGATGGCTTTCCTCTCCCACAGTGAGGCCAAGTTCTAGAAGAGACCGGATTCGGTTCCCTCAAGGGCTGGCTCAGAGGACACGCTGCCAGCGAGGGAGCAAAAACCATCCTCTCTCTGGCCGGCCGTTTTTCTACGTGCGGAGGACTTGGGAAATGGCGAGACAGGATGGCGTCGCAGAAGGACATTGTATGGGCACTCATGTGGTACGGTTCAGGACCCCAGCTCAGGGGTCTGAGACTTCCTTCCGCTAAAGATGGGGAACGGGTGGATGATCAGACGTACCGCTGTGGACAGCAATAACAGGACGGTGATGCTGGGTGAAGCTGGTCAGCCGGGGCGAAGTGTCCTGTGGAGATGGGCTGTTGAAAGGAGACTTGTCCATTTCTGTCTTTTTCACCGTTGGAGAGATGCCTGGAGAAGCATTGGAGGAGGAGACAGCGTTTGACTGAGACAGCTCAGCTGTCCAAGGGCCCACCTCCCTCCTCTCCAACTGTCCTGTGGAAGCCAAACTGGTATGCTTCCCAGAGCCCTGCCCAGGACAGACCACCACCCTCCCAGTTAGTCACACTGCAAGAAAAAGTCCACATGAAACTTTTTGGGTTGGATGCAGGACTGGCATTCCAGGAGGGGAAAGTGGGACCAGTGGAGGAAGTGGCCTCCCCCCACCCCAAACCAATTTGGCCACCACTACCAACAAAACAACTCTCATTCAGAAAGTTCTACTAACTCACTGGGTTGCATTATCAGGAGTGCTAAATGGACTGTTATATTTATAAAATAATAAATATAATGAATAATAAACACAGGAGGGAGCAGGGGTGGATGGTGGAAACCTCCCAGAGAGCTTCGGCTATAGGGCGGCATAGGGATGTAATAAATTCAGAATATAATGCTAGGAAAGTCAACTTCTGCCATGCAGTGGAGCAAGGCTAAACCTGGATCAAATTTGTTTCATACATTTCTTAAATTTATATCCTGCCTTCCACTGAAATTAGGGCACAAGGGGGTAAACAGTCCCAAGAGAATCACAGAGTTGCAATTAAAATAAAATCCGTCAGTAAAACACAACCCAAATAATCATGAAATTAAACAAAATAAAAATAACCCACTTAAACATCACACAAAGCTGATCCAGAGTTCGTCCTTCGAAAGTCTGCCTAAATAAAGTCTGTGCCAGGCTGGTGAAAAAACAAGAACGATCAAGCAAGCTTGACTTCCTCTGGCAGAAGTTTTCAGACCACAGGGGCCACAGGGGGCGAGACTGTGAGAAGGACCCCTCCCACAGATCTTAAACCTGAACAGGTTGATATGGGAAAAGGTGGTCTTTGATCCCACCAAGTCACGTGGCTTTATGTATAATATGTATATCTCACCTTTTTCTTAAGGAAGAACCCAGAACTCATTCTCCTCCCATTCTCAGTCTTATCCCCACAACAACAACCCTGCGAGGTAGGCTGGGCTGAGGGTCTGCCACTGGCCCAAAGTCACCCAGTGGGCTCCATGCCTGAGCAAGGACTAGAACCCGGATCGGCTGAGTCCCAGTCCCACGCTCTTAACCACTACACCGCACTGTCTCTTTATATGTCATAAGAAGTATGTGGAGGCCGGTGGGGTGGAAGAACAAAATTCCTTCTCTGTGGGGCAGGATGATGTTTATTTCCTTGGAATTACCATGGGGTTTTAGAAAACTGCTGGGTGGGAAGGAACAACTCCTCCAAGCCCAAAGCTTTCAGTCCCCCCATGCCAAGGGCTCATGTCTCTGGTCCGACGACCAGTGCTTTGAACGGGGGCTAGAAATGGCCGACTAGTCAAGACAAGGAGCCAGTCAGTCCTGCCAACAACATGGCTGCGGCGTTCTAACATTTCCGAACAGTCTTCAAAGGCAGCCCCACAGGGAGCAAATTACAGTAGTCTGGAAAGAAGCGCAGTAAAGCGTTCCCTTCGAGGTCTTTTGGTGTGGCTTTCCTCAGTGCTTCCGTCCTCTTTCTTCAACCTGTGGCACTTTGAGGGTGGCCTGCAGCACCCCCCATGCCACAAGGCCCTGTGCATGCAAGTGTGGTGTCGTGGTTAAGAGCATGGGACTGGGACTCAGAGGATCAGGGTTCGAGTCCCCGCTCAGCCATGGAGCCCACTGGGGGACTTTGGGCCAGTCAGACTCTCAGCCCAACCTACCTCACAGGGTGGTTGTTGTGGGGATAAGATGGAGGAGGAGAATGATGTAAGCTGCCTTGAGCCCTTTGTCGGAAAAAGGCAGGGTATAAATCGAAAAATAAATTAATTAATTAAATAAGTGTGCATGCGTGTGCGAGACTGGACAGAGTGCAGTTAATCCCTTCCACCTTCCTGCCTTGGATTTATCTGGGCCAGTTGGTTTAGGCACTGCCACTAAAGGGTTTAGCCCTTTCTCAGACGCTCATTTAGAAGGATTTTATAGTACATCCAGTACAGGATTGAAATAAATCTCTTGTCGCAAAGCATTCTGAACTCGTCTCTGCTAGGAATAGCAGGGCAAGCAGAGCAGGGAACTCTACGCTTTGCATTTGGAGACGGGTTTCTGGGCAGAAAGGATAATAAAAATTAGGAGGAGCAAAGGCAATTGGCGCCGTGTTCCTTCAATTCAAAGAAACATTTTGGATCAGCTCAATTAACAGCATGCTTAATTAGGCATTGAAGTGAGGCAGGGAATATTCGCTTAAACACAGTATGCATGTAATCTATTTTTAAAAAGCATTTTCGCTTCTCTCAGTCACAGGAGAGAGATGTTTCTGTTAACGACAGTGCAGGCATGTGAAACCGAACTACAATTCCCAGAATGCATGTGTGCCACAGCAACACCCCCTCCGCCCAACCTTACAGTTTGGAAAAAGATGTGTGGAAAAAGGAGGAGCTTTTTTCCCCAAATGCATCCGGTGAACATTAAGATGTGCCAGAAAAAAAGTATCATATTACACCACATGGAACCTTGCCACATTTTGGATGTCACGAAAAGCTCCTCATAAAAGAGACATTTTATCTGAAAGGTTAAAGTTAGATTTATAACTGGGCGAAGATTCCACATATTTGTTTTGCCCTAATTGAGACTGCTTTGATGTTCCAATTTTTCAAAGTTTTCCTAAATTTGTATGGAGTGCCATACATACCGCACAGCTCTGCTTTTCCGTTCCTCTTGTTAATTTGCAGCGATTCTCCATTGCAAAAGTGCAGTGTGATTTTGTGAGCATTGCTAAAACTCTACTTCTGCACCACCCAAATAGCAACCCTGATGGCTATTTTTTGGGGTGGTGGAAATGATGGCTTATTTTGGCAGAGTTTTATAACAAATGTCAGTACATTTGCCATTTGGGAAGCAAAGCATTGCCCAGTTGCAGTGCTTCAACACCAACTCCTCCGGAATTTTCAAACAGGTGAAAAGCTTTTTATTTAACCATTGTTTTAAGAATTAGGGCAGGGGTCCTCAAACTTTTTTGCCAGGGGGCCAGCTGAAAGGTGCCGGTGCCGGGCGCGGGCCAGAAAGGTGGTGCCGGCGGGGGGCGTGCGCTGAGGCGGGGCGGGTGGGCACGCCCCATTATGCAGTGGCTTGCTCACTAGGAGATCGTTTTCTCCTAGTAAGTCCAAAACAATCTCCTCACGAGCAAGCTGCCACCTCCCCACGCGGGGGGCGAGGCGGGTGGCAGCAGGCACGTGTGGTTGAAAACCTTTCATAAATGGCCATGGCGGGCTGGATCCGGCCCCTGAGCCGTAGTTTGAGGACCCATGAATTAGGGTCTTTAGAGGCCTATCTTAACAGTCACATTTTATTTATTTATTCATCTATCTTATGATTGTGATTTATTCTTCCTTGCTTATTATCGGTTTAATTTGATGGTATTCTATTAGTATTGCTTGTACTTATCATAATCTGTTTATTATCATCTATTGTATTATGGATTGTATTTTTATTGTTGTTGATTTTATGTTCTGCAAGCTGTCTTGAGAGGCTTAGTGAAAGACGGGATAGAAATGTTTTATTAAATTAAATCATTAAATTAAACTAAAACAGACCTGTCTTTGCGTGTTGAAACAGAACCATGGGAAAATGACGCGCTGTGGCCTGAGGTCACAGAGCAGGGGGACGCGATTTCTTGAAGGCTGGAGGGTGGGGGACTAACGTTCAGGACACAGACACTTACCCCCTTCCATATCTTCTGTCCAGTTCCGGCTGCTGCTTGTGGGAGAGCTTGGCGATGTATAATATTCACCCCCTGGACTGGTGTCCAGCTCGTCCTCCATGGAACCAGACTTATGCCGCTTATTCCTTAGATGTGAAGAAAGGAAACAATGGTTGGTAGCCACTTGAAGCCAGGAATGTCGGAGCCATTTAATATGATTCCCGCTACACACTTCCTACCAAGTCACAACTATGCTGGCTCTCAGGAAAGAATTCTTGCAGGGAGAAGGGCTCCCACAGAAGGGCTTTTGGGTTGGCATTCCCTCCCCACCCAAAATCCAGCAGAAGCCCTGGGAAGTCAAAGCTTGAAGACAGTAATTTTCCTTTATTGCTCATACCACAGAGTTGCTTTACCCCACACAAGGGGACCCGGTTTTCTGCCCTGGCATCTTCTCTGACACACATTTATTTAATAAAGCCCTCTCTGTTAGTAGTGCAATAATGTAGACTCATAAAACACTGCACAGTTATGTAAAAAAAAAACTTAAATAAATAAAACCACATTTTACAATGGAACAGCTCAAAGTACGCCATACAGCTGGGCCTGCAGAAAAAAGACTTTTGTGGGTAACAATCCCCATCCCATAATTTGAGGGCTACCAAATTATGATAGGGCATAGGAGCCAAAAAGATGAAGAGGAGGGAAGCAACGATTCAGATCAAATCAAGGAAAAATAAGGGAATATTCCATTTACTTGTACTTAAGGTGAGTTATGTTAAATGCGATGAAAGAAAAAACATGAGTTTTGAGGAGGGATTGGAAGGAAATGAGAGCTGTTCTGCAGGGTGGTTAACTTATCATTTTACAATGTTTAAGAATTGCTTGTGTTGAAAGAAATGCCTAGTGATATACAAAACAAAGCAGTATAACATTATAATCAAATGCTATGTAATTTTCTTCTACACAGAAGACAATATTATCTTCCTGGGAATGAATTTTGGATCAGGGTGTTTTCCACAGTGGATGCTTGATCTGCAGAGGGATGGAGTTCCAGGCTGTGGCTGCCAGGACACCAAGGATCCTGTGCTGAGCCTCCCCCAGCCCCAACCTACGCAGACCCCAAAGTCTGCATCTGGGCCCTAGCAAGGGAGGTCCGGAAGGGTGGCAACAAGGGGAAAAACCTTCTCAGCGGTGGCCACTCAGTTACGGCGTGATCGCCCCACCAAAGTCAGCCTCCACCAAGCTGTTGTCTTTTGGTAGTCGAGTTAATACTACCCTCTGTTCCCAGGCATTTCATGGCAAATGCTGGGGTTCTATGTGCCATCCACATGAGCTCTGGTGAGATTCCCAGGCATGCACAAGGAGCGCTGATGGAGCTGCCAGCCCTGGGTCTGAGGATGCTGGGGGACTGGCTGCCCCAGACAAGGCGCCGAGCTCCAACTCTGACAATGGAACTGCTATTCCAAGGGACAGGCTAGCATCTGCAGACTCCCCACCCCGACCCTGCAGCGCCAGTCTGAGTGAGCTCTGAATGGAAGAAGCTCAAGGGCACTCATGGGCCCAGCCTGTGGGAATGGAGCAGAGGAAGGGCGGAAGGGGAGGTTTGGAATTGGGTGGCCTCTTGGATGGAGAACCCCAGCCTCCTGAAGACGTGGACCCATGGGACCGCTGGCACAGCTGCAGGCTGGCCCGAGTGGGGATGCAGAATGCAGAATGCCCTTCCTCCAGAAGCAGGCCCCGAAGGTCCGTAAGTGCAGGCAGAGAGGGGTCAACACTTCTCCCTGCGTATGCTCAGAGACTTGTGAAGGCTGAGGTAGAGCGAAGGCGCTTACTAGAAGCGCTGGAGAGTCTGTCTTGCGTCGGATGCACACTTGGCTCACGACACTGCGGGCTGTTAAAACGGAATGGTTTCGATGTTTAAAGGAGGGCTGGGACAAAACCTAGTGGAACCTGTCCCTACTTACCTCACTGAGTCCCCTTGCGCTACACGTGGCACGTGCGTGTGCCACGAGATCGGATCCGAAGTGGACCACCATTCCGGAAGCCAAACCCAGGGAGTCTGGTAAGTTCCCAGATAAATGTCTATAGCCCTAGTTTCACCTGCTTTACATTTAGAATTCTAACCTGCATGTATGATTGATTGATTGATTTATGAACTTTTCTATGCCGTCCCTTTACAAATGTCTTGGGACGGTTTACAATCATAACAACATTGATAAAATAAAATAAAAAATAAAAGTACAACAACATTGATAAAATAAAATAATAAAAGTAAGAGTAAAAATATCATAGCATCCAGTATTCGGTATAAAACCACAAATTAAAATAATTTAACAATTAAAATATGCTAATTTTAATTCACATCAAATTTGTTAATAAACAAATGTGTTTCCTGGAATTTTATACTGTGTTTTACAGCACCTGGATTTGCATTTTTAACTGCATTTCGTTTTTGCATGCTTGAGAAACTGTTTTTATTTTATAAAGTAATTGTAATCAAAGGCATGGACTCCATCTCAGACATCCTGGGTGCACTAGAAGGGCATCTCCTGATGGCTGTGGGAACCAAAGGGAGGAGAGAGGAGCAGGACAGCCAGTGCCTCATGGGTCCGGAGCCACCAGATTCTCAGGGGCAAAGCTGTCTCCATCACCCATGTCTGGACTTACCCACTGGAGGAGGTGCTTGGAAGGGTCCGTCTCATCCCTGTGCTTGAGGGGTTCAGGTCGTAGGCTAAATGTCCCTGCAGTTCCCCCAAGGAGAAGTTTGGCCCCGTGCCTGTCACCACGGGTGCTAGAGAGGGCACACAGAAAGAAACACGTCATTGATGGCAAGAGAGCAGGAACCTGAGCTGGCGCTTTCTGGAGAACAGCACCCCCAACACTGCAGTAGTTCAGGATTAGAATATCAGAAAAGCCCTGCCGGATCCGACCCAGCACTCTGCACGCACGGTGGCAACCCAGCCGCCCGCAGGATCCGTCCAGCAGGACGGGTGCAAGACCTCCTCCTGCCCAGCTCCTCAGCAATGGATGCAGAAGGAGCAAGCCTAGTAGCCTTGGCCAGCAAGCCTAGTAGTCACAGCTAGCTGCCTCCCTTGTGAATCTCTCCAATCCCCTTTTAATGGCTTCCGGATTGGCGGCCATCACCGCTTCCCATGGCAGCGAACTCCACAGTTTGACTACACACTGCATGAAGAAGTCCGTCCTTTTATCTGTCCTAAAACTCCCACCCATCATGTGATGGGTGTGTTCGAGTGTTATGGGAGAGGAAAAAAGATCCCCCCTCCCCGCTTTCTCCACACAGTGCATTATTTAAGCACCTCTCTCCTGTCTATATGAACTGGCTGGCTTTCTATGTTCTATCTTTTTCCTTCTAAGGAAGTCAAGATGGCTTACATCCTTCCCCTCCTCCTGTTCTCAGTCTTACGCCCACAACAACCCTGTGAGGTAGGTTGGGCTGAGAGGCTGCGACTGGCCCAAAGTCACTTAGTTGGCTCCATGGGTGATCTCCTGAGTCCCAGTTCGATGCTCTTAATCACACCACACTGGTTATATAATTTATAATATATAGCAGCAATCAAACTTCAAACACATTAAACACGTTCCCTACAGCCACCAATTTGCTACCAAGCCAGGATTAAGGGTTTTCTTCAGGCGTACCAAGTCCTGTATGGAGAGGAACCCTGACACCTGAGAGAGCATCTTCTTCCTTTCCAACCTCTCTGGTCATGGAGGTCCATCAGAGGACATTCTCTTACTGGCTGCACACAAACCCACAACCCAACTGGAGTCCACCAGGAGGAGAGCCTTCTGTGTGGTAGCCCCATTTTTCTGGAATTCCCTGTCTCAGGAAGTCAGGAAGGCACCAGCACTGCTGTTTTTGGCACTTGCTCTAAACTGACCAGCCGCTGTCGTCTTATTATCTCAAGAGCCGCTGTGGTGTGGTCGTTTGAGAGCTGGCTAAAGGACCTGGGTTCCAGCCCCCACTCACTCACTCTCAGCCCAACCTCCCTCACAGGGTTGTTGTTGTGAGGGTGAAACAGAACTCTGCTGCAGACTTCTGGGCTCCTCGGCAGAGGAAGAGAGACGAGATATAAACTCAGCATCATAATACTAGTTTTAACTACAGTCGATGTCTGTGATTCTTCTCCCTGCAAAGTTGGGGGGAATGTAGGAAAGATCCCAGCTAAAAGGGGGGGGGGTCCCATTTCCTTGCAAAACCACACTGTTGCTCCTGAAGCGTGCAGGCTACTCTCGACCCAGGCAAGAACGAGAGGAGGAAAAAACAGGGAGAGGGCTACTTACTCCGGGAAACTTGGATAAGCTCTGTGACACTGAACACACCCGAAGTGACAAAGTTCTCTTGGAAATCTGTCGCATCTGCAAAGAGAGATTTACACACTGTCAAGAACGGGCTGCAAAGTTGGTGATCATCACCTGGTAGGAACTCTCATGCGCTGGGATGCTGGCATTCTGCTCAGAGGAAAAGCAAAGATCTCATGGTTAGACTGGGCAAATGCCACTACAGAATTAAAATACTATTTAAAATGAAAATATCCTCAGGGGAACGGGCAGTCCATCCATCGCAGTTTGGACCCAGAACGCAGGGGAGCCTTGGCCAGGATTTTAATGAATTTAATATAATTTAAATGAATATTATGTAAAGATGTGGATGGGCACTTTGTACATCATTCTAATTGTAGTACATGAACCTCCCTGGAAGCCATCTCACCTGTAAAAGGTACAGTGGAAGGAAAGGGAGGGTCTTTCCTGGGTCGTGCTACAACTGTAGGTTTCCCTCCTCTGGAGGGAACAATTCTGGTGTTTCCGTGGGCATGTACGTATCTTTCATTTTAGCAGGGCTTGGAGCTGACTCTTGTGGTGCTGCGTCATTTCAAAATGGATTCTTTCATCCTGGTTTTGGATTTGCTCGTGCAATTGTTTGATGCATGCTTTTATCATGCCATTTTATGCATTTGTGGCCTTTGAATAGAAAAGGCCATGTTTGCCCTCTGAACATTGCTATGTGCATTTGTGTATGTTTTAAATTTTATTTTTTAAGCATTTGTTAACTGCCCAGAGAGCCTCGGCTATTGGGCAGGATAAAAATGAAAGAAAAGGAGAAAGGGAAAGAGAGAGAGGAATGAAAACTTCTGAGCGACAATGTGGTCAGGGTTATATCGGATTCCACTGTGGCTTTGGATAGAATTGGGCTCTATTACATGTTTAAGGATTACCGTATCCTTCTCTAACCCAGTTCCAAGCCTGTCCCATCTCCAGTTGGACCAATTCAGCACTTCATCTGCAATCATTTGGCATCCAGCTTCCCAGATGTCATGAGCTGAGGTTCCTCCTTCAGACAATTCCCAGCCAAAGAGAGTTTTCCGTGCAACTTTCTTTATTGCTCCCAAGCACAAATCACCCAGAATGGACCTCTGAGCATGCACAGAGCAGTTTTTTTGAAGCCAATTTTTTGACCTCTCCTTGTGAACCTGCCTGGGCCTGAGGCCGTCTGGAGGGGCTTCCTGAAGCTGAGCACCCCTCTTCTCTGCTGATGCCTCACCATGGGGGCGTCAAGAGCAGGGGGGGCTGGTCTGCATCTGAGAATTCCTTCTCCTCAGGGACCCCTCCCACCGGCTGCACCTCTTGGCCGTTCCCACGAACCGCCTGGCTCAGCAAAGCGCTTGGCCTTGACATCATCTCCTCCATCTCCGAATCTTGACCCAGCCCATCCTTCCTGATCTCATTGAAATATGTTTCACTTTCCGATTCTGAACCATCACCTGGCATGCAGCCAGCAGTTCATGGGAACCCCTGCCCAAGACCACCATCCTCCCTACTCCCCAGAGCAGAACTGCATCCCAGTTCTCCTGCGAGCCTTCTTGAGGTCTTCTCAGCAGAGGTCTCAGAGGGATGGAAAGATTCCTTCGCACGAGGGACGGGCCATTGCTGTTCCTCCAGAAACGACTGGATTGCGACCCCTGCTAACCTTTGCCAATTGTTAGGATGAACAGGAATGTTAGTGTTTTGCAGTGCAAGTCCCCCCGCTCACCCAGCGTGATGATGGGTTTGCTGTCCTCCTGGTCAGAACTGATTCCCGTCCTCGGACTGCTGCCCTGGTCTGACTCTGCAAAGAAAAGATACATGCGCGGGCTTTACCAATGCGCAAGATGAGCATACGCTAACACATTTCCTTTCCAAAACATTCTGTACTTTTCCTTCACCACCAAAGGAAAATCCCAGGGCACGTACATCAGATTATAAAAACAATATAATACAGTCAGGGAAACACTGTTCCCTTTGTTGGGATGTGTGGAACGCCTTTTCCAGATCATAACAGTCACGTCTAGAGCTGAGCCACAAAACTCTGAAAACAGCTGAAAGATCGGCGGGTTGAGGGAAGGGAGGCGGTGGGGGGAGCACAGTTTTCCCCACTGGGCGCCACATGAGTGCGGGGGAGAATATAATGGGGGCAGGGCAGGAGTGCAGAACCCAGGCCCATGGGCTACATCGGTGCCCCACAAGTTCCAGAAGGCCCTGATGCCTTCTTGTACACCAACTGCATCGCCTTTTCCTCAGCTGTTTCGTTGCCTAGTTTTTGTTCTCTCCTTCCTCCAATCTAAAAGGCTTGTCCTGCCTCTTCTAAGACTTCTTCCTCAGGAGGAAGAGCTTTAAGCAAAAATAATTGGCTAGACCCCACCACCTTTCCTTTCAGGCCCTCCCAGCACTGGAATCGGGTCCCCGGGGGTCTCCCCAGGACCAAATTAGACCCTCATGCTGGAAGAGGTCCCACACCTCTGTCTTAATCTGCTGAAAAATTGATTTTGAAAAGTGTGGTTTAGTGAGGACTGTTTTTTCAATATGTAAATACAGGAGAAATTGGCTGAGCTGCCACTGGACTTCCACCAAATTGAAAATAATAGAATCCTAGAACAGTAGAGTTGGAAGGGGTCAAGAAGGCCATCGGCTCCAACCCCCAGCTGTTGCAGGACACCAAGCGACACCACCACACCCATTTACCACCAGCGTGATCTAGACGGTTTTAAAAAGACAAACACTTGCAGAATGTCTCGGAAGGTGGAAAGAGCATTGATACACTGGAGAGGAACTTTCTTGGGCTGAGTTGAAAGTTGTACATCCTGCTCTGCTCGAACCACCGGGGTGGAGTCGGAGGTTATGCTGCAAAACCTCTGCATGCCATGTGGCTGCAGAGAGAACGGGGACCTGCCCGGGGTGGCACAATGAGGCAACTCATGTTAAGATCTCTGATGTGACTTCAGGAGGTAAAGATGCACCCTGTCTGGCCACAAGCTGCAGGCACGCTGGGATGCGACAGCAAGAGCCAGATGTTAACAGATGCACCGTGTAATATCTGTTCTTGCAGCAAAGCCGTCTAACAACCTCACTGGCACTCAAGCTGCCCTAGGTCACTGCAGATCCGGATCCAATGCCGTGTGCCTTGGGATGAGTAAGACGCTTCTGGTTCTGCACAGGTGCAAGCCATATAATTTGTAGAGGCTTCTGGGGTTTCTTTCCCTTTGAGTAATACATATCGGGAACGGCTTTAAGTGATCTGCCATATATTACTTGCTCAGAGTGACAGCAGTCCGCCAGTTTCAATCTTTCCCGTCACTTGCTCGGCAACCCTTACAAAAACTAAAAACGAAAGACCGGGCACACTGGGGACGGAACCGAAGATTTCTCGTGCGTAGTGCTCACCTGTACCATCAAACAAGCCATGCAAAATGCTGCATTTTGTTGCAGGTTGCAGCCACCTGCTTCTCGAAGGAAAAAGGGCTTTGTGCATCAACCAGGAACCTTTTGACTTTAAAAAGGGGCTGTTCAGCGCATCTGGCCCTAAGGGATCATGCTATTTTTTAAGGAATTGTGCCATTGGAAAGTTGACAACCTCAAGTGGAGAGTAGCGGCTGAGAGGACCGAGTCCTTTTGGAGCCACTCGGCCGTCGTTGCAAGTACCACGTTTCTCTGTTTGTTCAGGAAAACACCACGGGGCCTCTCCACGGGGAGAATGCGCTGAAGGAATCTCCACTGCAGCCCTTCTGCTCGCCCGCCCTCCCCATCTCCTGCTTTCCCTTCCTCATCAGAAACACAACTCACGCTTCACGCAGGCTGCAGCCCAGAACGGTTCGTTCTCTGCTTTCCATCTTATCTAAAAATAATCAGGCACTTTGGGCAGTCGGTGCAGACGCTGAGCTCAGCATTATAGGTTTCCACCAGCATCCCGGATTAGCCAACCTCTCTCTCTTGCTTCCAGCCCCTTCACACTGCTTTCTTCTGCAGCAAAGCTAGGTTAGAATCCACACATCACACCGTATTACTGGGGGGGGGGGGGGGGGGCATTTCTAAAGTGTTTCTCCTGTGCCCAAATATCACTTGTGTATGTGTGAAAGTGTGTGTGTGTGTGTGTGTGTGTGTACATACTTCTGTCATTCTCAGGAACAACAGATGCATTTTTTGAAGTATTCAAACATGCACAACTAAATGCATAGGTTTGGGAGAACCAGTGATTTCCAAGGAATCCATTTGGCAGTGGGGATCCTTTGAATCCCCCAGGCTTGGCTCCCCAGACTTGCAAGGGCCCTGAGCTCCTGGTGAGTACTCCCAACGTTTGAGGGATGCGCTCCAGGAATATGGGGTGTCCTCCAATTTTGCTCCCCCAACCTGAGTGATTGAGGGATACTCTTTATGTCCTGTAGCTCATGGTGCAAACATTTGCTGATTTCCCTGGCTAGGAAGAAAGTCCATGGAAGCTAGACGGAGGTTTGTCCTGACCACAGAGAGAACCCTGAGGTTTGCAGAAGTGTGAATGAAAGAGGGTGATATACAGCCAATGACAAAATTACAAGTGTGAGGGCAGAGTCGATGGGATGGAAGGAGTATCCTGAATGGAAATCTAGCAGGTACATTCTAGGTTGTGCAATTTTGTTGTGCTCAAGCCCTTTCTTAAAAACAAAGTCTGCATAGCAGCCCACATAACACATAAGCTAAAAATACTATCTTAAAAGGAAAACACTGGAAACCTCAACAAACAGCAGCAGAGCCAAAGAGAAAACCAAAACCTTACAGATAAACTTTGCTTAGATCAAGTTAGGTTAATGCCTATTCCCCCCACCCCCCCGCCACCCCGACAAGTCTGCTGAAGGAGGATCTTAAAGCTTTGTCAATTTAGTGGCTTCCACAGATCCAAGTTCTTCCAAGTTCAACCACCCTCTCTCAGGCTTTCAGAGATCCATGTGACTGCTTCTGTGGGCAGGAAGTACCGTGACTTGAGATGGGTGTAAATTTGGAGCAGATCTGTTTTATGCAAACCCTGGAACTGCCTAACTGGGAGATGAACTTGTTTGGAATTACAGGTTCAACATTAAAATGTCATCACACTGGAAAGTGAGCCAAGATGCACTCATTGGCACTCTTAGTATGGACAGGAGGAGACGTTTCAGGATATATTTCATGATTCCCGTGATCTGAACATGAGCCTTTGCATCTCCACCTTGATATTCTCTATGCTGACTGGGATTTGGAGCCAGCCTTTCTCCCAGTCCGACCTGGATATCACGGAGAACAAATCTGGGACTCTGCCACGCACTGGTTCTGCCTCTGTCAGCCCTTTCCGGGGCTCTCCAGAAATTTAATCTCGCGGAAAGCGGGGAGGAAAAATGCAAGCAGGCAGCCGCAAAGGTCCCAGTGCACAGCTGCCTTGGTGTTCCCCGGACCTACAACGACCAGTCCAGATGTTCACCGCAGCTGCATGGCTTTCCATCGCAGAGGTTCACCCAGAAAGTTAAGCATCTTATTAACTGTCGCAGCTAAACGACATCTGTCCAGGCACTCCCTAAATTTGCAGGCAGTGAATTCGGGAGACCTTTAGGATGAGAGTCAAGGTGGGGCAAGATGATTTGCAGCTTTTCAGGAGATACAAGTGTGGGAACACACACGCACACACACGTGTTCATTTGCAGGCGCTTCCGCACTTTCCCAGAATGGTTGTGGAATTAGGTTCTGCCGCTGCACAAGGTGTTGCAGAAATGGCTTTACTGCTCTTCGAACAAGGTTAAGAAGGGATGGAGGGAGAAAGGGAATGCTGCCATCTCCCAATTTCTTCCCCCATGCCTCAAAACTTGCCAAGTTTAAGGAGAACAGTTTGGGGGTAGGAATCTGTCAGATTTCCTTGGCTCAGATTCTGGCCACATTTCTCTCTGCCCTGAGGGCCTGAGTGGGCATCCAAGCAGATTTGCACCAGGTCAGGGCTGAGAAGACTCTTTTCAGGTCATACCCAAGCATGGGACGAAGCCTTTTCCATACTGCTTCTTAGCCAGGAAGCTCCAGTGGACAGATTAGGGGGATGGAGCCAGCCAAGTGCCGGAGAGACCTTCCTGAGAAGGTGGCCATGCAGAGATTCCAGCAGATCTGGACGCACCCCTTCCTTGGTCTCAAGAGCTTGGAACAAGAAATCCCAAAAAGACACGCAGAATCACCCAGTCCCAATCTTGCAGGCCCCAAAAGAAAAAGCCACTGGAATGCCGGGCAACTGTAGAGTTCTTGAAGCTTGCATCCCAGTCATGGTGGGAAGACCCTCACCTGGGGCTTGTGGGAACAACTCCCTCACCTGTATCCACAAGCTGTACCTGAGTGCAGCTCACTTCTCAAAGCTTCGATTCTTCTTCCCGTTAGAGTCGTGTGCCTCCCTGCTCCACAACACACACAATTCTGCACCCCTCCCTCGGTTTCCTCTCATGCCTCCTTTTCCCCAAGGTGGCCAGTCCCAGCTGTGGCCACCGTTCATTGCAGCAGGGTTACTCCTGTCCACAGACTGTTTCCGTGGCACTTTTCGGCACCCCTTTTGAGCACCGCCTGCCCCCCAGCTCAAGCACTTGGCTCTCTTTAGCACGCCACAGCCCAGCCCTGCGGGGAACGTCTGTCCCAGCCCTGGAGCTGGACTGGGCTTGGGCCTCCCCTGCGCCCCCGAACGGAGACACCAGAACGCCTCTGGAAGCATCCCTTTACAAGATTAAGAGCTCGGCCTGCAAACGGCCATACAAATGAGAGGTGCGCAGAAGCCCCATGGCTGCTGCTCGGAGGGGTCCGTGGGTGGGACCGCCCTGCTCA